AAGTTCATTCCACCCTTACTATAAAAGGAGAGACCCATGCTAATAAAGCTAAGGAAAGATAAGCAAGAGTTATAGAAGTAGCTGAAAGTGGAATAGTAAAACTTTTTGTTTTTCAGGAAGTTGTAAAAGAATCTACACATTCATATWTCAATCACATTCACTAATTTATGCAATGATTTGAAATATGATTTGGTGCACCTGTGTTGCAAAACACTGACTATTACACTCAGTTAAGAGCTGTACTGCAGCATCTTTCATTATTCAGGCATATTTAACGAAGTAATAAATTAAATATGATTTTTGTTCATAAGAATCCTTTAATAGGTTTGTTATTCTATTAAAACAATGAACAAAAATGCAAAAAATTATATTTTTTTCAGTTTGCAAATGCAGCCTCCTTACTCTGAAACTGCTGCAACCCCCCTTATAAGCCACTGATATTCTCACAGAAGTTACCACAAGACTCTGGACAGTCAATGCAGCAGCAGCTGACAGAAAGCACTGTAAGACAACCTGATTCACAGGTTTTTTTCATAGCTTTTTCTCTCAGATATGATTCAGAAAAGCATTTTAAGCRTCTTAAGCTCCTTTGTTTTCAAGAGAAGTAGAATTTATTTCATGATGAGTTCTTTCCAGAACTCTTTTGTTTAAAACAGGCAATAGCACTCATTAAGTACTGTTAAACATTTTAATTTACAGTTAACAAGTACTACGTAAAAAATATTTATTGCAATATCACTGAAATAACTGTATATATGAATGAACTGATGTGAAATTAGGAGAATTTTTGAGTTTTAATTTCTTGTAATTTTTTTCTACTCACACCTTTTGAGTAATTCGAAAACATATCTAAAACATTGATACAGCATCAGTTTCTTCAAGGGTAAAGAAACACAGCTACTACATGCAGTAGTAGAGTTGATATTCTTAAAAAGATGCTGTGGAAAGCATGACACTTGGAAGAGCTACAAATGCAACTTGAGGACTGAAGCAAATATCTTAGACCAATACACACGTAAACCTTTAATCAAAAAGATTATGGTTACCTTGATTACTGTGCTTCTTTGGGGGAAGAAAATGCTGCTTAATGGAGACCCTTCATTTCAATAGAGGAAGGCAGAAAAAAGCAACTTTCAAATTTATTTTTTTTATTACCTAGAGTGAGAGCAATTAACTGTTAGCACTAGAAAGTAGTGGAGCCTCTGTGACATCTCTGAAATGTGGATAACTTTTGTTAAATTTGGTTTAGTTTCTTTAAAATGCAAAGTGCTGAGCTCAGCATGGGGTAAGACCTCTCTAACGGGTACAGAAGATTAAATTACACAGTCTAATGATTCCTCTGGTTTGAAGGCTACAGAATGATGCATGATGCTGGAGTTTCAAAACTGGTGCTACCCACCAGCAAAGAAGGTTTGCTGGTGACTTTAGTTGCTTAAAACATATTGTTCTCTTGTTTKTGCTGAGTATATCAGTTCTGTAATGCATCAAATTCCCAACCACTTGCCAAGAATGTAACTAGTCAACATATGATTCATAGCAGTATCTCCTTAAAAATATTCATAACCTTATGCACCATTAAGTCTTCCTGATATGGCTGCCTTTAACTGAATCAAGACAATACAAACAGGTAAGAGAACACCTGAATTTCTCCCCTCCTTTCTGTTCAGAAGCTGTTCTGGAATATAATTTCCTCCTGACACTATCAATCATAATGGAACTTGCAGTTTAGACAACAGTAATAAAAGACAAACCCAAACATATTTTAGACCTGACAAGAAATTATTTTTGTAATTTTAATTAACTTCAACTTTTAAATAATTTCTCAAAAACGGTTGATGTTGTTATACATATTTTAGTGACAGAATATTTAATTCTTCCACAGATTAATTTAACACAATGTCAGCCATGGCACATCTATTCCTCTTGACAATCTTGTTATATTAATTCAAATAGGCTCATATTTGGTTTTCTTAATTTATTAGAGGACATGGTACATCCCAGTTATATATAACTGAAGAATTTAAATCCTAAAATCGAGTCATTATTTTCATGAGACAAGTTTGATAAACAATGAATTATTTTTTGAGTCAATTTCTTTTTGGTGAATTTCCACATCCTTTATTTCCTTTAGTTCTGGGCCAAAAGGCTAGAAAAGGATAGCAAGGAAACCTTTACTTAGCCAGCACATAAACAACATGCTTAATTTTTTAGGAAACAGTGAATGATTACCTGTTGCCATTCAAAAGATATCAGACAGATAGGATTGGGACTAAAACAATGCATGCACCATATCCCAACTTGACCTTATGGAGCTAATTCTTTGGGAATACCCGGGACAATTCCAAACAAAACACATTTATTTTGTATATATGAAATATTCATACATACAGTCATAGATGTGTCCTCTTTCTCCTTCAGAATCAAATGTTCTCATTAAAGTTTCCCTTTATCCCTTAAAAAAAAAAAATCTAAATAGCAGATATACAACTAAATCTAGGCAAGCAAACTAAGTAATCCATGGTGTGATTGCCTAAACTGTTCCTTTTATATTTCATGAACACTGCCTGAAATCAGAATTCTGCAACAGATTTTATATGTATGCTTAAATGACACACACACGAGTAACATACCTCAACCTTGCAGGATAAGCATAGATCTCCAATTCTGAAATCCATATTAAAAAAATAATAAGGATCTAAACTGCAGCAAGGAAGATTAAAGTGCACTACACTAGAGCAAGTGAAAAAGAGAATGTAAGAAAAATCTCCCTATAAGGAGGTTTTAAAAAAATAATTAGGCAAATACCTGGCAAGAATGACATCTATAGTCAAGCTTACCTTGCAAGGAAAATCAGAGATTAAAAACCTTAATTTCAAACTTATTTTTTCTTGATTCCATGACAAAGTGAAAAGTCAAATAACAAACCAATCCAAAAATACGTCTGCCAAAATTCCAGATCTTTTCTTAACTGTTGAAAAGGTGGCTAAAACCCAAAACCTACTCTTCCTGAACAGTGAAACGGGGATCAGCTAACAGAGCTCACCATCCAACAGTCAATACTGTCACTAAGCAACATCAAAACTCTACTTACTGCTATCATGGTTGAGCACGTTTGTTTTGAAACACTAAAGGAAAATATTAAATCTAAAAAATGAGCAAGTAAAGCCATTGTTCAATATCCTATCCACTGTAAAAACCAGGCAGGTATTTATATGACTCTAAACAGAGACACTATAACTCAATCCTAAATTCTGTTCTGCTTAACTGCTTTGCAATATATCAACATCTAATTGCACCACACATAATCTGATTTATTCACAGATTTTAAACAGCAGCTGAGTAAATCTGCCATACAAGTTCCATGCTAATGCTTTAATAAGGATACATCTTGGTTGCAGCAGTGTTCAGTCTGTATTCTAGGGTTTTTTTTAAAAGCAACTTAAATCCCTGTATAAAACTGAATTTACCTATAAAGTATATGAGACTTCATTTAGTCTTAGCATACACATATCAGCAAAACACAGAAGAGGAAGAAGCCCCTCTAATAACTGAGAAGAAAGTACATGAAATAGTAAAGAGGAATTATATGGCATGGAAGGACAGAAAAGGTGCTTCATGATCACAATAAGCAGATGGAATCTGACATGCTGGGAAAGAGAAAYGCAGTGAACTGCATTTCTAAGACAGTTGTGCAACTAAAAAAATTTAAGAGTAGCCTAGAAACAGCTTCTAGAGTCCAAATATGAATCCTAACAGAGAAAAGCACAACATAGAAGCTCTAAATTAGACCAACTTTCCATACATAATCCAAAAACTGTCAAGATCTACTCTTATGCTACTCTGATAAAGTTACTTCTTTATCACTCAAAAATGGTCTTTAAACCATTGCACACCAAGGAAGAACATTTTTGGTACGTCACGAGTCACACCATATTTTGCTTCAGTCCCTTGAGTTACTYGATAGCTTTACTTGTATTCAGATTCTGAATGGAGCTCAGAATAGGCTGTARACCCAATTTCCAAGCTGAAAATTCACCCTAGTGGGTTACTGTTTGCAAAGGTAAGCAGCATTTCCCTTTCTGTCTGCAAGTTATACCTCAGGTTTTCCTTACATTTAAGGCAGGCTCCAGGCTGAAATTGAGACTGTAGTTTAATAACCATTGTTTATCAGGTATTTTACTTCAGCTGCCTTACATGGGTATCTTCTTTGCTGTAGAATGTCCCTAGCAGCAAATGACAGTGATACACAACTTTGGACAAACATACATCCACAGAAACACAGCAGTTGARAAAACTAATTGAATTGGTCATGCCTAAGCTTAGGACTTCCTTCTAAAGACAGGCAGATTCAACTGAATTCTGGCAATGTCATTCAGAAAACTGTGTATTTAACTGAGATCAACTTAGAACCCACTTTACAGATTCTGTGCTTCTTTTTTTTGCTTCCTTTGACAACATTAAATAATGTTTCTATAGTTATATGGTCACAGTTTCTCATCAGAAAGCTCTCAACACTAAAGGATTGATATCTTCCCGCAACCAACTCCAATGATGAATCTGTTCTGAAATAGGCCAGTTTGAAAGGCTGTTAAGCTTTTATCCTATTCCTCAGAACACAAGAGTAAGATACAGTAAAACAGCTTTATCTAACATTTATCCTTAAAAATAGTATCACTGTAAGCAGGCATAATATGAGTATACATGTCACTTGAGTTGGACAAGCTGAAGACTTTGTCCTTCGTTAGATTTCTACATAACTGTGTAAGATCTCTGGCACGGCATGGCTATAACCAACCTTGAATCTAGTCTAGAGACCTGAAACCATGGAAATGAACCCATAGGGATGTACATCCTCATTTTGCTTATGTTGCAAAACAGTGACACCCACTGGCAGCAACAATTTAAATATTTAATTGTTGCAGCCTGAACCTACTTGATAAGAGCTGCTAAGAAGTTTCCATTGAGAAGAATACATCATGGAAACAACCACACAGACTTACCTGTTGAGTCAGCACTACTGCTTGAGTTTTCAGAAACTGCATTGTTAAGAGCATCTGGAGTAACTGCAACATAACCCTCTGGAGGAGGTTCCACTGTGTAAATTCTTGGAGACATAAGTGCATCATCACTACCTACAAAACAGAAAATCCAAAGTATCTGGCTCAGTATTGGTCTCACTACAGATTTTCTCAAATGTTTTCCCAACTACAGAACTACGTGATCTCAAAAATCCTTACAGAGGGTCAGGTGTGGAACACTGAAATTATCCCATGAACAACAGAACTGCACCAAATTTCACAGAGCTATAAATGAACAAATACTCCATGGGTTAGTTCTTTCCACCAGAAGTGTTTTTGTCCATTGTATCAGGTAAATCTTCCACCCTACCTTCAGAAGAACTTACAGTGATATTTTAAGAGAGATTCTAAACATTTTTCCCCACTCAGCATGAGCAGACACTATTTCTTTAAGAGAACTGTTTCACAAAAGATGGATGRAGAGATAAAAGCCTATTATGAAGTGACAGAAGCAACAGAAAAAGCATCACAAAGCTGCGATTTGCCCATTTGCAGACGTTTTAACCACAGCCTATGCTTCTCTGAAGGGAGTAAAGATAAAGGGAGTTTGAAAGTCACACTTAACTAAGCCTCAGCAGTGCCTGCCCAAGAGGACTCACCGCCTCATCCCGCTCTACTTTCTGGGGCAGAAGGGGAAGAATAGCTTTCCAACTATTTCCTTATATAGGAAAACTATYTGGGGTAATGGCAGCAGTCTTTTTGTAGGATTTCTTTCCCCTTTGAAAGGTATTTAAAAATGCATGCAAGTGCAGCAGTAGAAACTTCTCATTTGTTTACCAGACAAGAAGTTACAGTCACATCTCTGCTCCACTTAGAAGAAACCAGACTGTATTTATATAGAAAGTAATGACAACACAGATCAACTGCAGTGAGAAAAGAGCTTTTCCAGAAGGCCAGGATGTCAGGGTGTCTCCAAATGTTGCAAYATAGTTTTAGGTGGCTCAATGTTGGATTTTTTTTTWAATTTTGATTTGTTGATTTTTTTTGGTTGTGCTTGTTGTTGCTTTGTTGAGTTTTTTTAACACTCAGCCAGCTCCATAAATCACCACAGACACAGCGCTTAGCCTACCCTTCTTGGGGGCAATATGCCCCTTTAAAACACAGAGCTGTGAAAATTATATACAATAAAAACAGTTTTGGCAGGTGGACACAATCAGCCTCTTAAACYATGAACTTGCTAGAAGATCCCAGATGTTCCTATCACTGAGGTACAGTTTGAGCAGCTATGGTTGGTTTAATTTCTAAATATCTAACATGCAGTTGTGTCTGATAGATCCCTAACAAGAATTACTTCTGTATTTCTGATATGMAATTTAACTATGCACTGACATTTCTCAGCCAGCCTACTTCAAAGATGATGAAGTACATTGCTGGACGTTCAAAGTACTTCTGAAAACACCACAGTCATTTTCATCATCATGAGGGAATAAATTTGTTTTGAAAAAACATTAGAATACTATTGTTTTGTTTTTTTAACAAGCCAGAAAATTTCCAACTGATATTGATGATCATTTAACAGATGATAATAAAGGGAAAGAAATACATAATACAGAAAGATGAAGAGCAACTAGGTGATTTGGAAAGAATCAATTAAAAATTAACGTGGAATAATTCTTCAACAGAATCTTTCCATGTAGATGATGCCAAATCATTAAACTAACACTACTTGCATTGACTTTTTTCCCCCATCCAGGTTGATTAATGATGAAGTGCTAATTAGTGACAGTTTTAAACTACAAGGATGTATAAATGTTTGAGTTATTCCCTTTTGAAGGATTTCTGCTTTCCTTTTTTTTCCATTTTATTTAGATTTTGTAAAATAAAGATTATCAGGAAAACACTAAACCAAATTTACAACCATCTTGAGAAACTCAAATCTTTTAATCATAAAAGAGTAACTATACTGGGATAATAAGCTGCCAGAAAAAATAGCTATACATTTGAGGGACCATCTGTAACATACAGTCCTACAAAAAACAAAAAAAAACAACAAAAAAAAACAGTAACAGCTCTTACTGTGGAAATGAATGAACTCAAACCTATTTTTTCAAATTTTACCTGTTTAAGTGGGCATCTTCAAATTACATATTCATTCACTCCAGATGCATCTCTAAGAAGTTTGCAAGCTCATAAATCAAGCATTAGTCTTTGCGAATCCTGTGTAAGTGTGTCAAATCAAACTGCTACCATATCTACATCTGGACTTTYGCAGCCTGGGGCTAGAGTCTCCTTGGGCCAAGAAGAGACGGGTTCATAATAAATTCAAACACTGCTGCAAAGCAAATGGCTGAGCTGACAAAACAGTGACATTAACAGGGTTTTTTGATTAAAAAAAGTAATCAGATACAAGAGATAATACAGAAKGTGCCCTTTTTACTTGTTAAAAGTCATGAATCACATTCCTGAAGGTTTTGTTTAAGGAAAGAAAATCCCAACAGCTAAATGTCATTTACAACTCCCAAAATGGTGCAAACATTACTCTTTAAGGCAAACCAAGAATACAGAATAAATGTTTTGAAACTATTTGTCTTCTACTAATGTTCCCCWCACAGAGATCCACGGCATGTAACTCTATGCACAGAGTGGGGAAAAGCATCTACACCATGCCATTACCAACATTACATCTCCAAGCATGTCAATTGCTCGACCAGCTACGTTATCTCATATCCTACTACAAACAAGTMTCAGATCTTTTTAGAAGGAGCTGAAGGTGAAGCTTCCAGCCATATAAAACTGTCAACTGCCCAATCAGTCATCATCTCAGGTAGACAGTCTATTTTGTTTTAAGTTTATTTTTCAGCATTTTTAAACCATCCCCTACTTGTAGCTCAGAATGGTGGTACATAACACTCGCATAGCTTCCAGACTGCGTAAACACAAAGCAGGCTAAGGCACGCCTCAGACATGGCCAAAGCACACGTTCATTTAGTCTTGTTCATATAATTCTTGGTCCTTTGCTTGCTGTAAGACTAAACCCTGGACAGAAACTGAATCACTTCTAGGTTCTGTGGTGGGTTAGCCCTGACTAGAAGCCAAACACCCGAACAGATACTCACTCTCCCCTCAGCAGGCTGAGGGTGGGATGGATTACAATGGGGACAACAGGTCTTAGAAAGCTCAAGGGTCAACACCAAGGAGATCACAACTACAAGAACCTTTCCTCACTGGCTATTTTCACTCCTCCCTACTTCCTCTCGCTGCAGGTTACACCCAGTGCCTTCAGCAAGAGAAGGAGCAGTGCAAGGTGGTGGTGGGGGCACTGTTTAAAAGTCTCTGCTGCTCCTTCCTTTTCCCCCACACGGGTTCTTCAYGGCCTGCCATCCTTCAGGAATATTTGCTCAACAACAGACTGCATCTTCCTCCTCTGACCCTAGGGCTCCCACTGTTGTCCTTTTAGCTCCCTCCTGTCTTGGGATTGTTTTCTCCTTTCTTGCAGAAGTGTCCCCCAGGGTGCCCCTGCCCCAGCCGTGGGCTCAGCTGTGCCCTGGGGTGGGTGGGCTGGAGTGGGCTGGAACTGGCTGTGTCCAGCMCAGGGCACCCCCAGCCTCCCCTCACAGTGCCCCTTCCCCCCCMCTTCCACTGCCAGTGACTGGACAGACACCAACACACTGTACAGTTTTGCAATCAAAAACTTTGTCTTACTTGTAAAGTGCTTCTCTGTAACTTAGAAAGCTTTGTTAACTCACCAAAGTTAAGTTCCCATAGGACAGAACTCAAAAGAGCAGAGGATCCAAGTCAAGCTAGAACATCCTGCAGCTCCCCCCAGCAAACAACTGTAAATTAGCCCAATCTTATTAAGATTGTGATCTTTTCCACAAAATTACCCCTTGGGCACACTCATTTATCACTTCTTCAAATAGATGGAAACAGTTCACCCCTGAAAGCAGGTCTTTATAGGAAAGCAGAATGTCCTAGTTCTGGCCAGGACAGTTAATTATTCTTTACAGGAGCCCGGTGCAGTAGCACATGCCTGTATCATGGCCGCTGGGGAGGTTGAGCCCACTGGAGCACTTGATCCATGAGTTCTGGGCTGCGCTGTGCCCAGAGGGCATGGCCAAGACACCAGCGTCACTCAGTACCACCTTACATCACTTCCAGGGGCTGGGGGAAAGGGACTCTTGCTTCCAAGCAGAAAGGTGGCTCCTTTCCAGTCACAGGGAACATATGTCAGTCAGAGGAGCTGTCTGCYATTGTTTTTCAGAGTCCTGGGCTGGGGTGAGCATTTTGCACATAAATCACCCTCTCTTTGTACATTATTGTTATTAGCATTGTAGCTGTTCCCAGTTTCTAGAGTGTACATCATTTGTGTGCCTGGTGGGATGTTGAAACTTAAGCCAGTTCATTACAACTTCCTTTCTGAGACTTCACATCCCCAGAACTTAGTTCAGTACCAAGCTYACATCATAAACCTTTCCAATTTTCAAATAATTGTTAGAGGGCAGAGTTGATAGGAAAGATAAGTAAAAAGTAAGCTTGTGTAACAGCAGAAAATATGAGATTTGACTCTGAATAAATATGATTCTGACAATGACAGTTCAAGTAATAAACTCCCCAGTGTAAACTGGAACAGGAGTGGTGTCTCACGCAATCCATTTTGTTGTCAATGCATTGAAAATTATTTCAAACAGGGAGTCAAGRCAGACAGTGGGAATGCTAACGCACAATTATTATGCTGTAGTTCGACTCAGTTTAGTACTGTCAGCCATTCCCTAGCTGAAACAAGGCCATTTGATCAAGTTCTTAAACAAGCCATTTTTTCTGTTTACCTTACCTCGATAATTAGATTTCCTGCAGCTGACTAATTTAGGCTTAGAGCTTGCTTACACTTAGAGCTAAAACTGGCATTTTCTACTCTTAGTAGGCAACTGCTACATACTGTTAGATGAGCTATTCATTAAATTGCTTTGGGGCCTCACAGGCCAGCAGCTCCCGCTACCACAGCTAAGCTGTTTGAATTGAGCACATAGAAGAGAGGAATGAGTTAACGTCCTTCATAAGGCCACAGGAAAAGGAAGGAATCTGCCAACCAGCAGCGAACAAACCCTCCAAAACGC